GGAAAAATTATATACACATAATTATAATTATAATACTAATAATAATAAAAGAAAACACAAGAACTATTTAAAAATAAACATAATTATTAAAACTCAATATATATATTTAGTTTTTGTGTTTGGGCTTTGATAGTTGACAAACAATTTCATTTTATTTTTCAATCGATTATGAATTTGTATTTCCATATACATATATCTCTTTCTAACTTTATAATGCCTAATGATTCTGGTAAATATGCATAGATTAAGTGAGAGCTGGATATATATATTTAGTTAACTACTCATGACTAAATGAAAGACTACCATCACAATACTTTTAGAGCAGACCTCTTTTAGTGAATGTTTCCATTATATTCATATGACTTGATTTATAGGTATATATGACGTAACAATCATCAAGAATTCCTTTATTATTAGAGCTCCTTCTGACAATGTTTCGAATCGTCCATGTATCATAAGGTTAATATATATTTCGCTGAAGACTTTCAACGTAACGAGCCTTTTTAAAATATACCCTTACGTATGTACTCTACGTTAATATACCCTTACGCTAATATTCCTTAACACATTCACCCGGCTGTAAGAGTTAAGTCATTTCGTATTATAACTTTTTGATATACCCTTACGTTATTCGCTCATACGTTAATGTATTCTTACGTAATACGTCTACGCTTACATTACAATGCCCTTACGTGTCCACCAAGTAAGTTAAATAATTGCATGCCATTATGTTATATACTTATACGTTAATGTAATCTACGTAATACGTATGCCCTTACGTGCCCAACCAAGCTGCGACCCACTTAAATAATTGCCTAACATTACGTAATATATTCACGTATGTGTACATATGGCTGTATCCTTTAGCTATATAGTCACCCGTTAATATATTCTTACGTAATTTATCCTTACGCTATATGCCCTTATATATTTGTATGTATATATGCCCACCCAGTTGCAAAAGTAAGTTGAGTAATTTCATTTCATTTAGATTTATTTATTTCTCTCTTCATTTTGTTATCATTAAAGTTTCTGCACATATATATATTTATTATATATGTATATGTATATGTAGATGTATGTGTATATATATGTATGTATATACTTATATATGTATATAGAATACATAGTATGTATGTTCGGTATGCCACTTACATGGCATTTACAATACATATATATTTATATACATACATACACACACATACAAATATACATGCATATATGTGTATGCCTTGGGGACTTATGTAACTGATCTCTGCTATCTGAATAAATTTTCACTTGTTTTACATGCAGTTTTGCGTTTGCTTTCCAATTTTTCTTTTCTTATTTGGGTAGAATTCATTTCATAAATGTTAATGCTTATTTCACATACATAGCTAGATATATATATATGTGTGCGTGTATATGTTTAAATACATACATGTATATACATACATATATTACTACATATATGTACAATTTATGGATTATATACGAGAGACAGAGACGACGCGATACACGACAAAAAAAAAAAAAAAAAA